AGATCACCTTCGAACACACCTATCATACAAACATGCCATTCAACTTAGTTACGGGATTTGCATTCACAGCAGGAAGACAACAAAAAGGACAACAACTCACAAGGACATAAACCGATTCCATTCAACTTCCATCGCTCGTGAAAAAACAATGACAAAATGTCCGTGCAATTTACACATCATCGAAGTCGGGGACACTGACAATAAGTCCCCAATTAACCGAGTGGTATTACTGCCGCTACACAGAGAACGGGACAACGCGGCAGTATTGATTGCCTCTACCCACAAAAAAACACGGGGAAGAAGGATGACTGTCCGCTTCTTTGTGCGCTCACAACTAGAACCCTGCGACGTGTTGTTCAACAGGACCCCAAAAAAAACAAGGCCTAGATCCATCGTCACAAGGTTTGCCTGTCGAACACGTTCCACCTCTCTCTCTCTCTCTCTCTCTCTCTCTCTCTCTCTCTCTCTCTCTCTCTCTCTCTCTCTCTTCGTGCAGTACACGCCGAAACGGAGAAGGATCTTCGCATCCCCGAAGTCACGCACAATGTCTACTCAAAACCATCCACAACAATCCCGATCTCGCCATGCAGATACTCACGACCGTATAGTGGCGGGTCCACGTGGACCCTGTACGCAGCGGCCTTGTCTAAGCGATCGTTGAACTCCATCGCGACGTTGGAAACCAAAAGATCGACGAGATCGGCGAGAACATCAACGCCGAAATCCCACCGATCGGGAATCGCATCCCCGACCTTCGTCGTGAAAGCGACAACGTGTGTGAGCAATCCGCGGGCGAAACCGTAATCGACAGTGAACCGCAGGGAAGCGAGGTCGTTCTCATCTACCTCGAAGTGCCTCACTTAATGACGCGTGACCGTRTGCACGAAGTCGAACGCCCGTCCCCGATCCCTATCCCTGCGGTGTCTCATTTTCGTAGAAAACGACCGTCCGCCCCGCGATCCGCCCTCTCAGCGCGACCACAACGTCCATACTCTCCCTCAACACGCTGCACCCCCGGGGACAACACCGTCCACAAGACTGCCATGCATCCTCAGTTTGCGCACCTTCCCCTGTATGTGCATCACCCTTCACAACCCGCGAAGAATAAGAGGACCGCTTGCACCGCAATGACCACCCCAACCATCCGCCACGCGTCCACGGTTTGGAAACCGGCGAAGGTATGTGCAACAACCTTCACCGCCCGTATTGCACAAGTCGACAACCTCGTCCGCGATGACCACCACGACCACCCCACTTGCCCGACCACTACACAGTCGCAGAATGCTACCAATCATCATCCGCTGTCACCGTTTTATAGGCGTGAATGGCGGTGATATAAACCACACCCCTGCACCACTGGACGGATCGCGTGCAAATCAACGGACCGCCAAAAAAAAAGGACAGGTCGGAAGAAAAAAAGATAGAAAACAGAAAAGGGAAAAAAACTCCTCAAATTCGATATTAAAAAATTGTCCACATCACTAAGGGAGCGGGATCGTCACTGCGGCTTGAGGTGAAATTGCATCATGAATATATCACTTTTTTTTGGACAACGACGAAATTCATCGCTAGCGGGACAACGCCGACGCTATCTTGAGCAGAGTGTCGCAAAGCATCTGTTGGCCGGCGTCCAGCACCTCTCATTGCCTTTCCTATGTCATCGCTTCACGTTCCATTATGTCGCCTTATCGCTGAAGCACCTCACATTGTCGTTTGCTTGCGTGGTCCACGGAATCGGCGATGACGGTGGAGTGGGTCTTCATGACATCAGTCACAGAGTCGAACGCGAGCTGGCGGGCATTCTTCCTCTTCCCGTGGGGTGAGGAACGTGACGACCAGGTGCCACACCCATCACCGCCTTCACCATCACCGTTTTCACTGTCGGATGTCTCGCATGTGGCCGTTGGCCCGCGAACATGGCTTTGCTTGCCTTGTTGGGACTGTTGAGGTTAGGGGATACCTAAGTCCGCCAGATTTGGCAGATGTATAGCGTGGTTGCCCTGCTGCATCACGTCCATGGCGTCATACACCATCCGGTCCCTCGTGAACTTGTACCCCAGCTCCTTGCGCTGCCTCGCCGTCAGTGTGAAGAAGGATTGCACACCCGACTCCTTCTCCCTCTCAAGCACTTTCTTGTAATGGCCAATCACATTCTCCCACCTCTTCATGTACGAGTCTCAGTCTCGCATGACACCTTGCTGCCTTATCCGGTTTGATATGTCCGTCCACTTCCACTCTTTCGTCTTCATCAACGAGAAGTTACAGCCAGCATTCGCGAGGTAGTCCTCTTAATCCCTCTTGCACCGCACGAGAACGAGGGATTCGTTTAGATCCCACATCAGCACAGCCCCCTCATGTCCCC